CAGCCAAATGTTTGGCATCTGTGGAAGGAACAAGAACAGGGCAAATGCTGCTGACTTTCCTCCAGCAAACTAAGCCAGCTGATGTCTCAAATTGCAAAGCATCCCATGGACAAGAGCTGCAATGCTAATTTCTTCATTATATGGAAAAAATAAGTAGTAAACCCTGCTCTTTTTTCCATACATGGCAGCCAGTTATTTCCCACTTGTATCCTAGTAAGTGAAAATGGGAAAGCTCCATATTTTAGTTGCCTTACCATACAATCTTCTATGTACTTGTCATATACCTTTAGTCCTGACAGCTCTTTCTGTAAGTGAAGATTTCATTTCTTCGCATAAAAAACCTGCTACATCCCTTTCATCATCGCTTTTATCCTTCCCTGTACTTCTGCTAGATCTGCTAAAACCTTTGAGAGATAAGCAGAATTACCACAGCTATATACTCTAACGTAATGATATTTGTTGATTTATTTCCTATTTCTCATTTTTAAATCTGCCTCACTAGACACAAGCCTGCATGTGCTGACAATCTGCCTCATATTCAAAGCAAACTCTTGATGTTAAATGTCAGGGTTTGCAACCTCAAGACAGCAATTTCTAAGCTGAGTTGGCCAAACAATCAGCAGCAAACTACTTATTTGAAGCTAGTTCTTCCTCATGTCTACCTGCTTAGCAGTATCAGAAAATAACTAATGATATTCATTAAACATATTCTTCACCTGAAATACATCACATGAGCAATTGTTTTAATTATTAAAGGGATGAAAAGTAATTACAGAGGAAAACTCTGCAAATTCAGTCTAGGCAAGAAATACCCAAGGGGAAGTCATCATTATAACATTGTCCATGTGTTGCAAAAGTCAGTTGAGGAATCCTCGGTTTGTTGGCTCTCTTCTTTCTAAGCCCTTGCTAGATGTACAAGGCACAGCCAGATGACCAAGCACCTTCCCCATCTTGCTTCTGAACATGACACATATGGGCCCCCACCATGAAGGTGTCTTCTTTGAGAATATGAAAGTCAATACCCCTTTATGCCATAGCAGATGATTTAAGTACATTTCATTAGAACACATCAAGAAGCAGAGACACAGTGCTCTGTAATTAAATAATACTTTATACTGGCTCATGACAACGTAACACCAAGGCGACAGCACCTGCCATTTTCATGTGAAGTAATTTACATAAACTTATTCCTCTACTTCTATACCTCCAGCTGCATTCCATAATTTATACAGACATACAAATTCTTCCCTCTGACATTAACAAGAGAAACAAGTGAATAATCAGCTTGCAGTAGTAAGTGCATTGCATTTACTATCAAGCAAGCTTTTTTAGTTCAGCAGATGATTAATCTTCCCTCTGCGGGTAGAGTACCAGGAGATGCAGAGAGCTGACAATTGCTCTCGGCTTCTGGCCATGCTCTCCACACACTTACCTTGCAACAACAGCATTTGCTGGATCCCTCCAAGAGCTGCTCTAATTCATTAATCCAGCAAAAGAATTGGACAGCTTTCTGCCAGGTCAGTGAATTAAAGTGGCTCACGTAAGGAATGCCAGAGACAGTAAATAGGAGTGGGAGTTTGTGCTTGGAGCCAGATCTCTCCTTTCTGACAGCAGTGAATCTCTTAGATCAGCTCAGCTGCCAGAGGTACTGCAGCCTAATTAGCATCTCCCCTTGCAGCTAACTGTGCTGGGTATTTCCATTAGGGATAAGAGCACTAAGGTAAACCAAGAAGGGGGAAGGGGGAAGAAACCAGGCAGCCCAGCACGATAAGTGAAATGCTGAGTATCAACTGTTTAAGAGAAGGGCTGCAACAGGCAGACCAAGTAGGCCAAATAAGGTCCTGTACCTCAGCCTGTTTTTAATCCAGGTCTTTCAGCTGTGCTTTGGGACAGTATCAAGAGAAAGGACAGATGCTTGGACACGAAGACCGAGAGGTCTTCCTGCCACATGCCAGGCAAGAAACAAAGCCCCACAGATGAGACTTGGTCCTAAAATAGAGATTCCAAAATACAAAGCTGTTTGTATTACACCAACTACTGTGCCAATTTCTTTTCTATGCCTCAATCCTGAGACTCCGAATGCTTTCCACTACATTCAAACCTCTGTAACCAAGCTCATCCTCAGCTCATGACACCAACCAGTCATACCCTCTTTGTTCAGGGTTTAAGTCTGTGTAGAAAGGCATGGACTTCAACTCTCAAAGTTTATTTTACGTAAGTTCACTGCTCATCTTAGACCTCAGGCTCCCAGACCACTGTCTTTTCACTCAGACACTACCACTAATCTCAAATCATTCTAGCTAGCTAGCCAAGTTTATATGAAAAGGTGCTCCCACCCTGCGTCTTAAGGATCCTGTTACAGACCACATTACATTGCTGTGTAACATCCAGCCAAGGAGATCAAGCCCTCTTTCTATTAGTGACCTTTAAACTATGCCCACGTTCTTTTTACTTTTGCAGTTATCCTAAAGGCTATCAGCCCGAAAAGCAGGAAAGGTCCCTATCTGACCACACCTTTTGCTATCTCCCTCTGTCCTGCCAACACAACCAATCACAGGCCTTGTTCTTGAAAGCAAGCAGGGAACTTATCTGTCCAGCTGAAGGAATTTCTGAATCATCCCATGGGAGCACAGGCTTCAAGTTAGCAGCTAAAAAATCCACTGGCTGTTGAGTGTGGGGTACTGCCTTCACACACGTGACAGCAGCTGTGCTTGTCAGTCACAATGATGGGAGGGAAGGCTCATACCTCACCCATGATGGCTTTTTGCTTTATTAAAGTTAGCACTGCTGTTTGAGCAAGATGGTAAAATGGCTAGAGGAGAAGATGCCTTAAAGCATAACAGTCTAGTCCATACGGACTGAACGTGTGTGTCAAACAAGTAACAGCCAACACACACGATGGACAAAATGCTTAACATTAGCTGTAGATGTTTAAGATTAAATAACCAACCTGTTCTGCTGTATTTTAACAGCATTCTTTAACTTGAGTAACTACGGAGCCTTCTAGCTTCCCCTAGGTCCTACATCATTAATCAGCATACTGAGAAGAAAAGTTAAAAAGGAATTACATCCTAAGGCAGCCCACAAAATCAAAATAACTTCATAGAGGACTCCTACACAGAAAGATAAAGAGACTTGGAAGATCCAAGTGGATGTGAAAGTCTGGTGTGAGAAAAGCCCCTGGTTGAGGCGATTTACCCCTGCTCCCACAGGTTTCTTCATGTGCCACCATATGGGATCCTCTGGGTTTGATCAGTCCCAGGCATAGCAGCCACAGCAACGCCCTTGTGTGCGCCCTTAGCCTTTCCCAGCCAGCTATGGCCACAAGCCTGACTCCGCATGCTCAGCTTGCACGTCTTTAACCACATCAAACAGTCACTCCAGACGTGCACACCTGTTTCCAACAGCCAGTACAAGTGCTATGTGCTATTCAGCCTGTTTCTTGGATTACCCCCTGCCAGTCAGGCTCCTTCCACAGACTCCTGGCAACACCACTGCCTGCCAGCAGTCTCCCAGCAACACTCCCTCCCACACAGATGGGCTCCCAGTCCCTCCTCGCAGGCTAGCCACAGGCTGTGGGCTCCTTTGAGCCAGCATTAGTTGATGAAACACAGAGCTCAGCCCTGCAGAGCCATAGAGATGGCTCCTAATATGGAAGAGGAGCAGGAAGGCTGGCAAGAGCTTACATCCAAGGTCAAGGCTAACATCATTTCCATTAAAAAGAAATGCTCTTAAGCTCTGGACAAGGATGGGAACAGCAAAAACACAGGGGGAAAGCCACTGCCCTGTTTTTTATTCCCTGTTTCCAGCTTTCTCATCCAACTGGCAGGGCCTGAGGTAGTTTTTGCTGGAGATGGGCAACCAAAATCTTACGTGTTGGAATGGTATCAGACAATGTGGAGCTAAAATGATGACTTGCATTTCTGCACACTGCATCAGCGCTTGGTTTTGTTTCCTGTGTGGTCTTTCCTTATCTACTTTTTTTGCCAAGCAAGGCGCCCTAAGTTCCTTTTGCGCACTAACGTGCCTTACAGAGTGTGTACTTTTTCAAGATGCCGAAGTTGTGGCATTCCCAGGAAGAAATCCAAGGTATCTTATCGAAGTCATGACCAATGGCGCCAACCATGCAGCCACTGCCCACTGCAGAAGCACACATCAGGAACCATGAACACTTGAGCTGGCACTATCAGTTCCTCCAACTGTTGGCACTGAATTCATTCAGTACTTACCAGGGAAAAAAATAATCTCTACAACCCAAACACCAACTACAAGTAAAACTGAAAGCATTAACAGATTAAATCCACCCCTGAGCGCCAAAGGCTCTCACCATAAGGCTCTTTATTAGGAAGTTAAGTCTTAACAAGTGGCTTAAGGGGTGGATAAAGCTTTTCCTGGGATAATCTGCCAGCATGTTGCCCAGTGCCAGTTCCAGGCCATGGAAAGAAGAAAGAAAATATGTAAGATGATGGAAATCTTGGTTTGGCAAATGGATGACCAGTAACTGAGAGCTCATCTCCCATTCTTGCTCCCTGAAGTTCCCTGCTGTCTTCAGAAAGTCAAAGAAAAGTAATTTTCTACTCTGTTAGCTTCCTGAAAACAAAACCACATTGGGATTACACCTAAGATGCATGTGCTCACCCTAATTCTTTGTACTGTCAACTCTCCAGAATTTGCCTCCATCACATCTATTTGAACCATTCGCCAATTAACACAAAGTAATTAACACTTTTGTCAGAGGCTGTCTTTGGACAACACCACCATGCTAAAATCACCATGATCATGATTTCAAGTACTACTGTTCTCTGCAGGCACCAATTTACAAGGGGAACATGCAAAAGGGGAAACCCAGTAATGGAAAGTCAGAAGCCACATTTTGTTTATAATTCTCTCCTTTCAAGTCTACTGCTGGTTTGCTGCACACTTGAGAAACAGCAATCTAATCAGTGGCTGCCTTTCCCCAAAGCATTGTGCCGTTCTGGCTGGGCACCCTGTGCACTTACTGCAAGAGATCCGTTCTGCGTGCTGGCCGTGTTCGTGCTCTGCTCCCCATGCGGCTGCGTGCTTCCGTAGAGTGTCAGATTGTGCTCGCTGGTCTGGCCTGCATAGTCCTGAGTGTGTGGCACCCCATACTCTGTGGGAATCCCATTCTGTGGGGGTGGTGGAAATGGGATTGTGGTGAATGGCTGCACCATTGCATCAGGAGTTGCTGATGGCTCCTGGTTACCCTTAAGAAAGGAAAAAGGAGAAAACAGCTTTATACTACAGAAGATAGATCAAAACATCAGCCTGAGAGACAACACACACGTTCATGTGAATATCCCACCCACCGTCACCATAGTATTCCACAGTCTTCTATTATCTCTCCTATCAAAAAGCACATGCCTTGCTCCTCTGAGCCATGACACTGTTTTCTTAATCTTTTCAGGGCAATTTTCTTGCTACTGGGTGGCATATAGCGAACAAATTACAGGGTTTGCAGATTGCATACCCCTGTGATCTCACACAAAGCTTTACACACAGTAAGGTATTATTTCAGAAGAGGGAAGAGGCACTCACACATTGGAACAGAGAAGAAACAGAGAAGAACAGGGTTTCTCAAAACCCCTAGAAGTACCATAACTGGGTCCATCTCCTCAAGCCTGACCGCTCATTGTTCACAAGCAACCCCATAAGCAAACACATCATGTGGTTCAAAGCACACCTCTCTGTTATGTTACAGTGATAAAAAAGTACAGTTTTTAAAATCCATCTGCAGAAGCCCCCTCCTTTGCCCTGACAGCACTGCATACACAGCACAGGTATCTGTTGCTGGAATATCCCATTTGCTTCTTGCTGGCCATGCAGGAGACACCAAAGAGCCGTAGGGAAACAAGCTAAGATCGCAAGCCAGCCCACAGTCACTCTTTCCCAATCCTGAGCATCTCTACAATCACTCAAGGCACTAATTACCCACTCCTGCCTCAGCTTAGGGTATCCCACAGAGACCTCTTGCATAGTGGACTTCTTAGAAGCTTTTAGCGCAGTCTTAGATGTAGCTAACACCAATCAGATGACTCAGAAACAAAGAACTGACCATGCAAAAGATACCCCCAGAAGACAATAAAAATGCTACCCCACCATGTCAAAAAACCACGAGAAGGAAACAAAAAAGCATGCAGCCCTACAGCCTCTGCAGGGATCTCACCAAGGGGGGAGCTGCATTCAGCCACCTGGGGTGAAGGAGAAGAGCCTTGACACTGAAGCCCAACCCTGGGAAGCCCAGGCTGCTGCACCGCTCCCCTACTGCTTTCACTGCCGCAGCAGAAAAAAAATCCACAGAAAAGATTTATGATAGGAGGGCTGTTTGATTTATGTGCATGTCAACAGACTAATACTGATTTTAAATTTTGGCTGCTGTTCCAGCCCTGGGTCCTCCCCCACAAAGCCTGGAGGTGCTCGAGGCTATTCTGACACCAGCATGCTTAAATCAATGGAGTAAAAGCGAAACAGACCTTATCCCGTGAATAGGAAAGGCAGAGTGGGAATTACCAAGCAGCCTTTCAGCAGAGAGCATGCAGGGGCTGACAGACCTCCAAAGAAGCCGGACAAACCTTTCAGTCCCTTTATCAGCCTACCTGCAGCTTTCCCTTCCGGGCGGAGGAAACAATGATAAACGCAGTGCACCTCCAGCCAGCACCGGGTCATTCAGACACTGGCTGAATCCCAAATTTGCTCTGACATTAGTCTATCTGGTCTGCCTCCCCTGGGGGCCACGTGGCCACGCGCTCCTGCAGCTGGGGAGAAGGAGAGGGAAGGGCATTCAATACCACTTAGGAGAGCCGAGCTGCAGCCTTGGCCCGTGCTGAAGAAGGAACGGTTTCAAGTCCAGCCTTGCTGCCTGCAGGAACACAAACTCCGCAGCCTTATCTGAGAATGAAGAATTCAGGGGAGCATGCCAGCCGTGGCCAGTGCTCAGCTCCTTGCACGCACTCCTGCAAGCACTTGCAGCCCTGCGTTGCGTGCTCGCAGCTCTGCGGAGGTTTTTCACGCACCAAGCACATTTTCTGAAAGCAGGACAGGATTTTTGTTTCCCCCTCAAAAAAGGAGGGGGGCTCCACCAGCCCTCCAGTTCTGCTCATTCCTTTGCTATTCTCAGCTTCAAAGCAAGCCACTTCTGACTCCAACTAACCCATCATCAAGATCTGCAGAGCGAGTTCCAAAGCAGGAGGCAGGACAGACAGAACGACGGCCATCCCACTGCAAACCAGGTATCAGGAATCCTACTGCTCACCTGCTCAGACCATTTATCCCCTGACATGACAGCTCCATTCTGTCCACGTACTGTCTCCTTTCCAAGCTCTTCTGTTTACAATATTTCATTGGATTTGATGGCCTGCATTCTTCCCTACACCCCACCTTGTCTGCCCCCCTTTCTGACATTTCCAGTAGGAGCTAAATAGGAAACTGACTTTTTCTTTTCAATTAAAGATTTTTCCACAGGAAAAATAGAGGAGCAGAAACCATTACCAGTCTTCTTAGAACAAGCTAGATTTCCAAGCCAGCGGCATCCCAGGTCAGAGGCAGAGAATGCTGATTAGCCCCAAACAAAACCTATTCTGCCATTGTGTCAACAGTGCAGGGCTGCTCCCCAAAGGACATAGTCCAGCATTCTGTACAACCTCAGTCTTAGACTGTTTAAAATGCCAGTCCAGGAACCTTATATATTCTTATTTTCAATGTTTTTCCCCCTCAGTTAATACTGTTCCTTCCAGTTTAAATGCATTTCAACCTTTTAAGTATTTTCTCTCCTTTCTTCAATTATCTATCTATAAATGTTTGAAGGATGAAAAATACTTTCTCTCTCCTCTGTTGCTTGTGGCATTTTGATAATACATATTTAGTTTGAGTTTAATCACACCTCTCAAGCCAAAATATCCTGGTAAGTTTATTTATTACTTCTCTCTGACCTTCCTAAGACTTTTCAAAGAAGGATTTCTGGGGAAGAATAAAATGTTTTTAATACCACTGTCACTCCTCCACTCCTCAAATCACACTAACATGCAAAAATCATATTTTTTATTACAAATGCATCCTTCATTTAATGTCTCAGGTTATCTGGAGATCTATCATTATTATATTTGTCCAGGTTTCATCATGCCATGGAGTATCTGTATCTCAAATTATTTTTCTCTTGATATGATTATGGACATATTTCCCGTCTGATTTTTTTTTGTAATTTTAATTTCCTTTGATGCTTTAGAATTACTTTTTTCCCCTGTTTCCACTAGCGTCAACAGAAAAGGACTCCTGATGAGATCTCTGCAGGTTTCACAGCATACTGATATCCTCCAAACCCAGAGGAGATTCTACCTCTTCTGTTATTCAACCAAATTTCAACATTTACACAATACTTCATATTTTCAAGAGGTAACACAGAACACACACACACAGATCCCATTTATCTTCAAATACAGAACATGAACTCCTTTCCCTACTTCTAAACCACCATGTAAAATTCTGCATTTAGGGGTGCTGCTTGTCACACTTCACAGGAGGTAGAGAGAAAATGGAGAAATCCTCACATTTCCAGGTAAAGGAAAGTATCTTGTCTATCCAATCTTGACATACCTCACTGCACTGCCAACCCTGCCTGTTTAAGCTTATGAAGAGGTCTTAAAAATTTACTCAAATGCAACAAGAAACCCAGATAATCATGTCCAAGAGCAGTCACCAGCCCCAAACTTACACAAGGATGCCACCACAGGACTAGGAAAATCTGGGTGCAGCTCCCCACAAAAACTACTACCATCTTAAACTCCTGTGATGGTATGAAGTAAGTTTTAATCCAGGTGTCTGTCTTTTAATCAAGAGCAGACAGACACCTCTCTTGGCCGCAATGCACCAGGCTGGCAGTCTCCAGGAGGTGAGTGTGAGGGACATTTGGTTGCAGGAATAATTTTGGCAGTTCCAGATGAACTGATTAGCTCTGCCAGTTTGTGCTGCCATGCACCAACCATGATAACTGCCATCCCATGCTCAAAGTGGGAAAGGGGCTGTCCAGTGCAAGTGAAACAGTGCAATTAACCCACACTCCTTAAAAAACCAAAAAAAAAAAAAACACCAAAAAAACCACCAAACCACACTTCAGTAAGATATATGTTGACCTATAATTCAAAGTAAAGTGATAATTCCTGTGTCTTCTATTCCTTCTGATGCTCTGTTCCCACAGAAATCATTCATTCACATCAGGTAGGAATTCAAAGCAGCTGCCCCCTTGCAAAATGTTGGTATCTGATTTGTGAGCAAGCCCTCAGGGCACAAGAAGGATATGGTTACCCATGTGGGCTCTGCTTTCAGGCCCCTATTCTCAGCCCTACAAAGGTCCAGTCATGTCCTTGCAGGTGCCAACTTTCTTCCTTAAGTCAGGAGTTTGCCTACACAGATCAGTACAAACTGATCCCACATTTTGTTTAAAAACAAATTAGCTAAAGCAGTGAAAAACCCCTAACAGGGACACATTTCTAAGAGCTTATGCAGCTTTAAGTTAATTAATGAACTTTGCAGCTCCAAGCTAAGCGGAGGAACGATGAGTAACCGATGAGTAACTGCACGTGGCGATACCTTGTGGAAGGGTGGGAGCTGGGGACGACAACTCAACAAGGAGCAATGTGGTTCAGCAAATGTGACACAGGATGAATTCTTTCAGCAGACAGCAGGTGGTGATCCAAGATCACGGCACTGGAGCGCAAAGAGCAAACACCAGAAATGCACACAAAGGCCTCCTGCTTCCATAAAACTGTCAAAGATCAGTCTGCTCTGTGAAGGAGTGGTTTTGTTTTCCTCATCAGAGAAATGGGTGTAAGTAGAGGGATATGAAAGGAGTCTTATAGCAATGCAGCTCCAGATCTCTTTGGTATTCCTATGCCATAATATGCATAGATAGAAAACCCTAACCAGACAAATAAAAATTATACTCCTGGTAAAGCTAAGCTAGTAAAATTTCTGTATAGATGTGGCAAACTGCCATAAGGTAACTGGTCTGTGTTATCCATAACCCTACTGTGAGTCATCAGAATCAAAGAAAGATGCAGGGAAATGGTACAGCATATAAACATCAATCTCTTAAAAATGCCTTTGAACTCTGCTAACCCCCAAATCACTGGGATGTGGGTATAAGCCTATTAGTGGAATGGGGTTTCTAATACATACGTCTTCACTGAACTAATTTTATGAATCCTCGAAGCAA